GTGAGCATGACTTCATGCACGTATCTATTAACAAGTTAAAAGGTACATGTAGCATGTCCATATAGATGATATATGTGACAAGTAATAAAGGGCTTTCAACACAAGAAGTTTTTGTCCGAAAAAACCCACCTCTAGGTTAAAAAACTGGGCACTCTTCACTAAGTTCAATCCCCTAATACAAATACAGTTCTTACAAAGTACCACGCAAAGCTCAATTCCTAGACATAGTCTACATAGCAACTTTACCTTTGTGTAACCTTACTTTGCACAAGTTGAGGATTCCTTCAGCCTTCACGAAGTGGCAACTCCTCCTGAGCTCTTCACCTTATGGCACTGAAACCAACTCAATTATGCATATGATGTTATGATAATGATATGTAGATATGGATTCAATGTCTAGTCAGTTTCTCCAGTCAAACAATTGGAGGAAGAAATTGATGTGAATCCTAAAATGAGCCAATAATCAGATTTGAAACTTGAATAACTTCACCACAAATTTAATGTAAAACCCCAAAGACAATGCAACCCTATTCTTCAATGATTGGGTGTTTAATGCATGAAAACAGTCTTGCAACTAGGGTTTCATAAATGAAGAACAAAGAGGAAGGTGAAGCCTTAACGCTTCTCTCTCTCTAGAAAAATAAATCTAGAAACCCCAAAAAACCAAATGAAACCTGCTAGGGATCTTAACCCCAAAAGCAGTGGTTCATTTTTCAACCAACAAAGGTCACGTGTCATGCTTCAAAACGATCTGAAAAGATCAAGGGTGGAAAACAAACATTCGGCAAAAAGTTGTCAGTTAGCCCACGTGGGTAGGTTTAAATTGCACGCCTAGCTTGCTGGAAATCCACACGTAATGCTGACTAGACAACTAAGATAGTCAGAATGTAACAGAAATGTAGACGTGAAATTAATGCAGATGCATGAACAAACCTTTTGAAGCGAGTCATGTTTAAGGAAAATGGCTTATTTTGGATGGTAAATTTAATGGAGTTAGGGTGAGATGACAAATTAATGATTTTGGAAAGTTGATATAACAAATTCCTTAAAATTTTAGTTTATATGACAAATTAAAAAATATTTAAAAGTTGATCTAATATTTCACCAAAAAAAAAAAAAAAACCTTTTTTTAATAATAATAATTTAAATGCCCAAGTAACGCCTTGACAACGCCTCAAGTGTACCTCAAGAGCCTAGACTCACCTCAGAAGTCTAGGCGCACCTCGCAAATGCCTAGGCTAGTCTATAGTCCACTCCCACATGCAACAAAATCCGCCTAATTTAGTCTCAATACTAAAACATTGGTCATGAATGCGACTTCAATATCTTTTCCAACCAAACAATTAATATCAATTGATAAAAATATATTTGTGTTTTTGTCAATTCAATTGTATGAAATTTTTTTGTTTTATGCAGAACTTTCAATGCCACATTTTCTTTCTTTTTATTGTTTATGACTGACGTCCATTCCTTCATGACATTCCCCTTAATGTCATCTAACAACGTGCCACAAACATGACCTCCACTCTTCTCGGCTGCCGACGCCATGTCCTTCCTATGGTACTCACATAGCTAGAATGCCTCCATGCTACCAAAGCCTCGAGCCCTCGCTCCCTGACCTTGTCAATTTCGTTGGTGCCCCGCCGTCGACATCGATGCTCATGGGATGGATTTCAAAGCCAAACTCTAAGCCATGACATGTCCCACTTAGGGGCGTGAAAGTAGCCTAATATGTGGCTCCGCCATTAATACTTGGATGCGCCCTTTAGAGAACAAAAACATCAATATATATAATTTTTTTTTTGAATAAATGATATTATCTACACTAAAGGAGACGGAATGAGTTTAGGCTGATAATGAGTTAGCAATAATGTGGTTCAAATTTGTCTTTGACGAGAATCAAATATAAGACCTCTCACTTACAAGTAAAGATGAATACTACTAGACTGTAATACTAAGTGGCAAAACATCAATATATTTTAGAATAAAAAAAAAATGGGTAGACTTTTGAAAATTAAACATTTTGATCAATCACTCATGCACGCATGTGCATTGCCATTTATTTTCCTTCTTTTTCTTAGTAATGTTAATCATTTCTATGAATTATTTGTTGAGTTATTAATAGTGAGTTCTACTATGCCAACTTCATAATTTTATTTTTCCACCTGCGTTATATTTTTACCTATCATAAAAAGTCAAAAAAAAAAAAAAAAATCAAACGCTTTCTTCCCACCTACTTATATTCCTAAAATATACCTAACAGTTTCCTAAATAAAATAAATATAAAAATGATTGAATTGACTTTAAGAGAATGGAACAGCTATGAATGTCCCTATCCAACCTAGCGAAAAAACCACAACCAGGCACTGCATATGACGGCGGCAACTTCTTTTCCCTTTGCCGCTGGGGAATTTATCTTCCTTTAATTTGTTTTCTTCTCATTTCTATGTTCATCTCTACCTCTTTTTTTCTCCCCCCACTAAATCTGGATTTAAAATTCAATTTCCCAATTCTAATTTAGAATTAAGGGTTGAAAGTAGGGGAAAAAAGAGAAACAATTTGGGGTGGGTGGGGTGGACGGAAGAGATAGAAGATGGAGGAGGAAGAAAGAGTTGACAGTGGTGGGGATGAAGAGACAAAATTGGGAGATTTGATTTGTTTCTCATTTTAGTTTTTAAATTTTTTTCTATTTTTTTTTTCTTTGACTACGAAGAATATATAAAGGATTAACTTTTGACAAGGTTTTTGAAGCCTTTTTACATAAGATTAAATTTGTTACTAAAATTTTCATTAAAAAATAGGTGAAAAAATAAGACTACGAAGTGGGCATATATTAACACTTTCAATGGTATTTAATAAAAAAGTTGATAGTGACCAACTGTGCACCCCATTGATGAAATCAGTGGACTGTATAAAAGTGTAATTTCGATCACATGAGATTTTTTATTTATAGCTAAATGGGGTTTTTTGCCCAAAACATTTGAGATGTGACTTAATATTATATATGGTCCAATACATAAAATATAAAGGGTTATTATACAAAATAGTCTCTGAGATTTGTATGATTAATAGAAATGGTCACTGAGATTGAAAATCAATAGAAATGGTCCTTGAGATTGTCCACCATCCATGTCCTTCTGTTAAAAATGATTTTGGGTAATTTTCAAAGTTTTGTAACTCAATCTTTTCTTAACCAAATTCGACCCATAATACATCAAAATGAAGATAGGAAAGTGTAGAATAAGATTATACCTATTTGGAAGCCCAATGGTTGTCGGAGATAGCCGGAAAATAGCCTAAAAGGTGATTGGTCCGCGGGAAAACTGAAAAACTCGCCGGAAACTGAGTAAACTTTAAACGTTCATAACTTCTTCAATACTCAAACAAATTGAGTGATTCAAAAACAAAAATAATACTTCTTGACGAGACGAGCATAATGGTACCTTTTTCGAATGCTAACTCGCCGTGGTTTGGTTGGAAAATGGTTCGAAAGTGGCTAAACCATGACGATTTAGCAGTAAAGAAAGATACCATTCTCTTCATCTCGTCGAGAAGTATGACTTTCATTTTTTGAATCACTAGATTTCGTTGAGTATTGAAGAAGTTATGAACGTTTAAAGTTTACCCAGTTTCCCGCGAGTTTTCCCGCGGACCAGTCACCTTTCAGGCTATTTTCCGGCCATCTCCTACAATCATTGGGCTTCCAAATATGTATAATCTTGTTCTACATTTTTTTATCTTCATTTTGATGTATTATGGGTCGAATTTGGTTAAGAATCGATTGAGTTACGAAGCTTTGAAAATTGCCCAAAGAGTTTTTAATGGAATGACCAACATCATGGATGGTGGACAATCTTAGGGACTATTTCTATTGATTTTCAATCTCAGGTACCATTTTATTGATCATGCAAATTTCAGGGACTATTTTGTATAATAACCAAATATAAATCTCAAAGCCTGAGGCAGATTGCTCACAGAAAGTATAGTTTCTAATACAAAATACTCTAAAGTCAATTTGTTCTTGTGAAATATGGTTTCTTCTTGTTAATTATCAATTGATTTTTGGAAGCTCCAGGATTCCTTAAGGTCGTGATTCTAGTCTTACTCATAATCTAGAAAATTAAAAAGGGTCTTGGTAAACTGTAAAACCGTGCAAGACAAACCAAAGATTAGTCTCTCCTGTCACTCCATATGAGTTTGAAAGACATTCAATGCCTTCAATGCCTTCAATGACCCAACTTCTTTAATTTGCCATTTTTCTATCAAATAATCAAACGCTGGACCTCTTCCATGCCCTCCTTGTAAGTTTGCGGCATGAGACATTCCCCCAGTTTCCACCGCCACCCACACGCACGTCACGACGTCCATCTGCGTCCATCAAAATGCTAAAATGTCAAACGATTTACATTTAGTTGTCACATCATTAGGTATTTGGACTAGTCCAATTACTATACTAATTATCAAAATATACAGTTTAGGTGAAAGATGAAATTTATGGATGGTGAATTCGATACCAAATTAGGTTGCCTATTATGTGGCTTATCTAAACTCCTCCTTCTCTTAGTATAAAAATATCAATGTACTTAAAAAAAAAAAGTATACTAATAAATATGTTCGTTGTCGGATTTTAATGAAATAAATATATTAATTTTGTTTGGCCAAATACCATGTTTGTTTGTCGCAATATCATGTCCTTATGAATAGGATTTTTTTCCCCTCCTAGTTTCTCCTTCATTCTTTCTTCTCTTATTTGAATGGTTAGGTAAAACCACGTCAACTTTTTGTGATAATTTTTTAATAGTTAGAAGAAGATAAAAAGGCAATCTATGAGAGGAGAAAAGAGAAGAGGATGAAAATAGGAGAGGAGATAATCTACTCCTAAATGTCTTCGTGTTAGTATTTTACTCTTATTTATAAGACACTCATATATAGCAGCTATGAACCCCTACACAATGCCTACCTGGCTAAGGCTTTCACCAAACAACTTCCAGTACTATCAAATGGCTGCCTTACAACTCTTCTCATTATTCTTACTTTTCTTGATCTTCTTCTTCCATCCAACAAGGGCTTATTCCATCTGCCCTGCATCAAACTGCTCCGGCGGACCTCCGGTTCGATTCCCTTTCTGGCTTCGAAACCTCCAATCCCCACGCTGTGGGTACAACAATCCAGGGTTTGACCTCTCATGCAGCAACGAAACCCCAATCATGACCACACTCACCCTCCCAGCATCTTCCGACAACTTCATAGTCCAACGCATCGACTACGAGTTCCAAAAGCTTTACATCAACGACCCCAACCACTGCCTCCCCAAACGGTTCCTAGACAACACCTTCAACCTCCACGGCACGCCGTTCCACTTCGGCAGAGTCCAGAACCTCACCTTCCTCAACTGCTCCTCACTGGGAGGAGCAAGCCACGCGACGTCGATGCTCGAAGCCCCGATTATATCCTGTCTCAGCACTGAGAATCACAAGGTGTTGGCTGTTCCGTCGGGGGAGTACGAAAATTGGCTTCGGTCAATGTCGTCTTCGTCAGCTTCGCCGTCACCGTCACCGTCAGAGGTTTTGTGTCGGGTGATTTCAAGTGTTATGGTTCCGACTACAGCTACTTATGAGATGCCGGATTTGTATGGGCATGTTGGGGATGGTGTTGGGTTGACTTGGTCAACGGCTGACTGTCGTGATTGTGAAGCCCGTGGTGGAGATTGTGGGTTTAACAGAGATGCTGAGCTGAGTGTGTGCTCGATTATTCCTAAGGCTAAGAGTGAAGGTAGGTTAATTTTCCAATTACTCCACTATACGTACTATTTTATAGGTTACTTGCATATAATTAAGCTGCTGACTCTGCTCTTGATTTTCATGGCTTATATAAATAAATCTTTTATCTTTAAACACATCTTGAAAGTTATTAATAACACTCACTCTTGGTTATAATATACAAGTTTGGGTGACTATAAGTAGAATCAATAATTGGACTTGTTAAATTTTTTTCAATTGGAGATATCTCTACAAAAAATTATTTCAATCGGAGATCATTTAATCATACAAATGTATAGAACAAATCGATGGTGTAAATACCAAGAAACATATTCATGATGAACCGTTTCATTTATTTGATACATTTGGATGATAAAACGAAATCCAATTCGAACTATTTTTTGTAGGAGTGATCTTCAAATGAAGATTGATCATTGATTTATGGGTTCTTTAGATATTGGCCCTTGAAACTCCTATTTTCCAAATAAAAACTCACCTAAATTTAAACATTCAAATAAAACCCAAATTTCAAATAGCCTACCATGTAGACAAATATATGACCAACTAAGTACAATTACAACTTATGCCATAGAATCCTAATTTGGTCAATAAATGTTATTACTCATCCTAATTATGATGAGCAATTAAATCCATATGGATATTTTACCTTTCTTGTATCATAAATATTAGCAACATATATAAATTAATTTACCAAATTTAAAAGAGAAAGACAATCTTGTACGGAAAAAATAATATTGCTTGAATTATGTGATTTGTTACATCCTGACCCGGGACGGATCACTTCCCAGGCCCGACTCCACCACCGTAGCATGATATTGTCCGCTTTGGGCACCGACCATGCCATCACGGTTTTGTTTGTGAGAACTCACACGAGAACTTCCCGATGGGTCACCCATCCTGGGAATGCTCTCGTGCGCTACTCGTTTAACAATTGGTATCAGAGCCTAACCCTGGTCGCGAGTGTGTCGACAAAGACGTCGGGCCCCTAAGGGGGGTGGATTGTGACATCCCACATCGCCCAGGAGAGTGATCCTTAAATGTATATTCTCATCCCTACCTAGCACGAGGCCTTTTAGGAGCTCACTGGCTTCGGGTTCCATCGGAACTCCGAAGTTAAGCGAGTAGCGCAGCGAGAGCATTCCCAGGATGGGTGACCCATTGGGAAGTTCTCGTGTGAGTTCCCAGAAACAAAACCATGAGGACGTGGTCGGGGCCCAAAGCGGACAATATCGTGCTACGGTGGTGGAGCGGGCCCGGGAAGTGGTCCCCCCCGGGCCGGGATGTGACATAATCATCTACATACAAATTAATTTACCTACTTATAAAATATTATACTAATAAACCTGCATTTTGAATCATGTAATTACCTACATACAAATATTATACTAATTTACCTACATTTAAATTAATTTACCTACTTATAAAATATTATACTAATTTACCTACTTATAAAATATTATACTAATTTACCTACATTTAAATTAATTTACCTACTTATTAATATTATACTAATTTACCTACATTTAAATTAATTTATCTATTCCAAAAAAAAAAATAGTGATATTATATAATGTTCGAATGTTGTGGGTTTGTGCTTGTAGGCAATTAAATAAACTTTTAATCTAATGCACATAAATCATGTAGGTAAATTAGACCATTTTGAAAGTAAATTAGACCCTTTAAATTTTGGTTTGATGTAATAGGTAACTTAGACTATTTTGTAGGTAAGAATTGTGCGGAACATATAGCTTTTGTTTTGTGTATTAGGGATTGGAATATTAGCCGAAGCTGTTTTAGGTTTATTGTTGTGTTGGTAGGTAAATTAACTTATATATGTAATGCACAAAATTATGAAATTAGTATTATTATTTTTCAATTGGCACGTTATAACAATTTGAAAGTTAATACATTGAATATACAATGAATGACATGATTATTTTGTAAAATATATATAATTAATTAAATAGATATAACAAGTAACTGATCCAAAAATCTCATCCAAGTATTAATAGAGGTAGTTTAGGCATTTGAAAATTACACAATTTGAAAAGTCAAACTTAATTAAAGAATTTATTTAGTTGGAGGCTAGTCAATGAGCTTTATTCAAGAAAGCAAAAGGAGATGGGTTTTAGTAGAGGAAAATATAGTTTCAAGGGGTAATATCAAATTTTCTTTTGGTCGAGATACGTTATTCGTAAATAAGAGAATATTTGCATGCCCACATTAGCGGATGCAAGTATTATCCATTACGATATATATGTTGTTTAGATTGTTAACTTTTTCATCTAGATCATTGGTAGTAAGACAAATTTTTTAATAAAGTTTAGTTTTGTCAAATATATGATTCAAATTGGCAGTAAGACAATCTTTTTAATTAATTTATTTATTTTTATAATTAAAAAAAAAAGTTGCAATGAGACATAAACTTTACTCATCAAAATAAAGATTTTTTTTCTTTTTTAAAAGGAAGGATACATACAAATTACTTAATTCATGGTATAATTATTCTTGTTAAAGTGCGGCCAGCACAATTAAACTGAGTTGACTTATTGTACTTAGGATTTCTTGCAATCCTGTAATTCTTTGTAACCATTTATACATCTTCGATCGGTGTTATGGGACAAAAGGTGCTGCTATTCGAACTTAACCGAGAAATGTGAAATCACTTTGCATCTTCTATGTTTAGTTGACTATTGTACATAGAATACGAACATTCCACCTGAGTCGAACGAACCTCGATCAAGAGAGGACACTGTGTCTAGCCAAGTAAGCAAATATTGAATAAGTCGATGCTTGGGGAGGGGTAATGTTGCATGTGCCCCTCGAGGTTGAACGTATCGTTCAGTCGTTAGAAGAAGAAAAAGCAAATCCACTGCGTGGAATTAGGTAATGCCGCGTAGCCTGGTAGCTTTATTAAAGTGCCACCTTTGATTTTTGGGATTATTGTGATCTCTGTGTTCTTGTAGTCAAACAAGAAATAAGGGATGCACAAGCGCGGAACTTGACTGAAAGTTCCATGCATACCAACTTACCGTTTTAAAACCTTTAACGTCATGATCATGTCCTCTCAAAGAAATTAGGTGTTGACCTGACCTGAATGCAGTTGTCATAGTTTAACATTTGATCATAATAATTTAAGATAGTTAACTTTCGTTCTCTTGATCAACATAATATTTTAATTTGATATTAAAGATTGAGATTAAAACACTAAATACACGTTCACTTGTTCTACATATTCTTGATATAAATATAAAGACGAGTGAAACCTTCATTCATTGGAATCACCTAGTGATCAATAAAACAATTTTGTACACTAGTAATATAGTTTTTTGTAATTTAGAGTGTGATCAATAGACTAGATTATAAAAAATAAAAAAAATTCTTAATTAAACACCACTTATGATCTGAATTCATGCACCGGTCATTCAAATAAAGTGTTAGTTAAGAAAACAAAATTAAAAACTTAGGAAAATATCTAAGGGTCTGTTTGATATTCTATATGAAATTTTTTATCATTTCTCAAAACATTTCTTGAAAACAATGTTTTTTAAGACTCAAAAACTTGATTGGTTTGCAATTTAAAAATTTTAAATCTTATGACCTAAATTAGACAAAGAGATCTAAAAAGAGGGGGTCACATGAGATGAGAGGGAGAAAGAGGAGAGATAAGGAAATAAAGTAAGAGATGATTGAAGGAAATAGAAAGAAGAGAGAGGATCGGACGAGATAGAAAGAAAGAGGAGTGAGAGAAAGAACTGAGAGAGTGAAGAGAGCAGATTGGAGGAGAGCCAAAAAAGGTGTAAAAAAAAAGAGGAGAGAAGAAGAAAAGAGAGAGAGAGAGATTTGGAGTGAGAGGGGAAGAGGGAGAGAAAAGAAAAGAGTTAGCCTTGAGTTCAGTTTTTAAAAATAGTCATACCAAACAAGTTTTTAAGATATAAAACTTCAAAATTGTTTTTTAGTTTAAAAAGTTAAATTTAAGTAGAGTACCAAACACACTCTAACTTTGCAAAATATTGAAATTTATTTAATTTTTTCCTCAACTTATGTTCACATCTACATGTCAAACACTCCAAGAGAAACATATCTTCTGCCATCTATTTACTAACGAAAGTTCTTATATTAATACAGATGTCCATTCCATTGAAAATGAACTAACCAATTGCAATTCCTATGATCTTTCACGTTCAGGTCTTCCAAGAAGTGCAAAATATGGTATAATCATAGGCGTGGGAATACCTGGACTCTTGTGCATCATTGGACTCGCAAGTTGTGCCTTCGGCAGGATAAAGGCTCACGCTCGTCGCCACCAGGCAAGCATGGATCTCTCCACCTTAGCTTCTCGGCAACCAACCTTCGTTACAATAGGGCTTGATGGCCCAACCATTCAATCGTACCCCAAGACTTTGCTTGGAGAGAGTAAGAGATTGCCGAAGCCCAATGACAACACGTGCTCAATATGTTTGAGTGAGTACGAGGCCATGGAAGCATTGAGGACTATACCAGAGTGTAATCATTATTTCCATGCTAGTTGCATAGACGAATGGCTTAAAATGAATGCGACATGTCCGGTTTGTAGGAATTCACCAGAGGGCTCATCTGTTGCTACCCATTCTTCCTCAATGTCGTCTTCAACTTTTTCTATAGCATCACCATAGAATTTGATTGTCGTGTTATTTTTTTCCATAATGTAGGTATGGTTGTGATTTGATATATATATATATATATTTGGGCTTGCGATAGCTGGAGACAAATGATTGTTTTGTACTACTACAATAATCAAACGAGGTTGTTTACTGGCTTGCAATGGCGATTTCCTATATTAGACTGGTTTTCAGGGGCTATCATATGGCTAACTTAGAAATCTTCACCTGCTTATTCTTCTTGTTCTCTTCCTCCCTCAAACACTACGAGCTACCACCTGTGGTGGATCAAAATGTGCCGATTGCAGCTGATGCGAGATTTATACGCGCACAAATTAAACCCTCTTTTTGACAATTGTAGTATAAGTATAAGTAGGGATCGTTCTGGACCGGGGATTAGGAGGGATTGTTAATCACTTGGATTTTTGACTCAAAAACGTAAAAACAATATAAAACACTAAACTAGACTTAAAGAATGTGAAACTAAACGTTAAAACATTAAGACAAACCAAAAGACTCAAAATTCTTTAAAAACACAAACTAAATTGATTTCTAACTAATTTGACAATAAAGTAAAGGGGGGATTGTGTTTGGACGATATTAAATTAAATGGACAAATTGTAATTAAAGGCAAAACGTAAATATGAATGAGATGAAAATATGGATGATGGAATAGCCAAGGGGTTCATCTCCACACATGTTATACTTGCATACAAAATTGATTGTCAGTTGGTCTTTCGATAAATTATGAAACTCGACACTCCAAGTTAATTAGGTCCGCTTAAATTAACCTTCAAATTTCCCTAGAATCATTGAATTGGATGAATATGCATCGCAAACAAATTATTCCTAACAAGTTCTCTATATGAACAGCATGATAAAGATACAAGTTAGAATCATTACGTTCTTTGGAAATTATAAGCATCGACAAGGCATTTGTAACTATGAAAAGCATGATACTCGTGCCAAGAATTCATTTAACGCGATTGTTTATAAGCAACCTCCACTACTTGTGAATATAAGTTCATAACGATTAGGTGAAATTCACTTATATTCTAGCGTCAGATTTATGCATGAAAATTAAGCGCGCATTCTTAATAAACATTCATAAATAAGTTATCAATCAAACGGTTAAACAAATTGAATCCAACATTCATGAAATCCCAACCAAAAGTAATCAATTCATATTGCAAGTATAACCATGGTTTCGAATCACCCCCTAGCTAACTAGGGGGATTTAGCCTCTCATGTTCACAAAAAGAGAATTACAAATGAATTTAAACATAAAGCACAAAGGATTGATTACACCTAGAACGCCCAACGAATCCACGTGAATTGGTGCGCGTCAAAGCTCCTCTTTCCTCTTCTCCTTATGCGGCAGATTGGTTGTGGAAGATGTAGGATGGTGTGGAATGGTGTTGGTAGTTAGAATGGCAGGGGAATGGCACGGCAATATATTGGGAATTATGGAAGGAAAATGGAAGAAAAAATGTAGATGGTGATAAGGTGGTACGGCAGTTTGTGAATTTAAATTAGGGTGTGAATGATTTTTGGGTTCAATGGAAGCTACGGGTTTGAAGAATGAAAAATGGGAATGTGTGCATGCGGCTTAGGGGGGGGGGAAATATGTGAATGTGGCTGATTAGTGTTAGGTTTTTGGAATGCACGGTTGAAATGGATTAATAGGATAGAATATGGGAAGAATGGCTGAATAATAGGGTTAGTGGAATGGTGGCTTAATGGGAATGCACGGTTTAGGGTATGTAAATGGGATAATGGGAAGTGAAGATTAAAAATGGGATATAGTGGACTAGTGCGGATGGTGGCTTAATAATTAAATGGCAATGGGATCATGGTTTAGCATAAATAATGGGAAGTGAATGATGGAACACGGCTGAAATGGGAAGTGATGGGATATGGTAAGGTGGAAGTGCACGGCTTGGAATATTATAATGGGAAGTGGTGGTTAATGGGGGGGGATTTAGTGGGAAGGTATAATGGTATATTAGGGTGATAATTCAATGGAAGGCCACGGATGGAATGAATATGGGATATATGGTGGCTGAAAAAAAATATGAATTAAAGTGCATCAATTTGAATTAGGGTGCGGCTTCAACTTATTCATTCCTCTTTCGCTCCAAAAAGCTCCACTTTGCATCTTCTTGCACACTTTGGCCTTATAATCTGAAAATACACAAAAGTGGCCTTAAACACTGAAATAGATAAGTAAACACAACATAAATGCACGAGAACAAGCTAATTAAATCGCATGAATATGCTCCTATCAAATTCCCCCACACTTAACTTTTGCTAGTCCTCGAGCAAAACAAAACAACTACAGTAAACAAAACGCAACAAAACATACAAAACATAACCTAAACCTTCCAACGTTTGCCTCAGGGATTTCCAATGAAACATGACATGTCTAAGATCATTACACACATAGCTTTTAGTCTTCTTTCCCCTCAAGCACATACTTACTCATAGTCACCATTCACTAGTTCACATTTAATCAATTAAAACATATTTTGAATGTAGTAACATGCCTTAGAGAATTCCCTCAATTCCTCACTAGTTATGCACTCAATTTTCACTCAGATTTTCTGACTACACACCCTACACTAGTTATATGTGAGCAGATTGATGTAACATGAAAGACTAGTACTCACATATGTTATAACAAAGAAAGCAATTTCTAGAGTAATTAAACGTGTTTGGATCATGAATGGAATGCTACTACTTAGATGCGAGAACCAGTGACACCATATGCTCATACCAAATTCAAACTCCACAATTGAAATGCACAACACTCAAGATAGAAGTCAAGGGTTGTAACGGGGCTTGGGGTTTTGGCTAACAAGGGAAGGTAAGGATAAACAAACGTTCTTTAAGCAATAATAAGTAAAGTAATGAAATTAAGACCTAGAATTCCCTTAGAATGCAGAAATCAACTTTTAAACAAATAGGGGAGATTCAAACAACTCTTAGGGCCTAATTCATTGTTTTGGGCCCTTACTTCAACAACCAATACTTTGGAACTCTTTTTCACTTCTTTTTTTTTTTTTTCATTCTTTTTTTTTTCTTTTTTCTTTTTTTTTTTATTTTTATTTTTTTAACCGTGCTTATGGCACAAAAACTCACATCCATAATCCTTCCCCCACGCTTATTTTCTGCAACACATTAATCAAAAGGAATTCATTGCTTACTATGCTTCAAGAACAAGGGTAAAGATGGTCCTAATCTAGGCTAGGAGAGGATAATGTGGGTTAACAAAGAAAGTAGGCTACACAAGGCTCAACGGGGTTAAATCCTATAAAACAAATGAAAAGGGAAATATGGCAATTTGGCTATGGTGTTCACTACACAACTTCATCTTGAATACGTGTTATGCAAATCAATGACATGCTTTGAATGAGATGGGCATGAGTTCTAGCATTTGGAACTAAGTGATGAAACGCCTTCTAAGTAGCAACCAAGCAAAGAATAATGAGATCATGCAACGACTTTAGAAAACAATGACGCACAGATTATTACTCTCCAAATAACGTTTAAGCTCAAGTCTCACAGGGATGTAGTGTTTGTTTGAGTTCCTTCCTTCAAGCATGTTACAAAAACTAATTTTTTCTTTTGTGATTACATGTGAATTCGTGAACTATAACTACAACCAAGCATAAACCAAAGAGTATATCAAACGTCCAACCATATTTGTAACTTTCTTTAACCATCATGCAATTAAAAACCAAATCCTCATCATTGTGTTGGAAGGTACCCTACGACACAAACACACAAAAACAACTTTAAAACAACTCTTTTTGGGTTTTTCAAAACAATTTTTCAAATTTTTATGGGATTTTCGAATTTTTAAATCAAAACACACTAAAACAGTTTAAAAACATTTTAAAACAGCAAGGAACAACACTTGAAGTTATGGGTGATAAAATCCAACAAATTTGCATCAACATACTTAGTTACCCCCCCACACTTAAATCAAACATTGTCCTCAATGTTTTAAGCTTAAAACACACCAAATAAAAGAAAACATATAAAACAGCAACTAAACATACTAAACATGGCAGAATGTACAAAGAGAAGAGTTTTAGAGATGCAAATCTGGTTATGGAGTGTAAATTCCATCTTCTCCTTGGTGATTGCAGTGAGGCTTCATCTTGAGTGATTCCACAGGCTTACTCTTGAAATGCGCTGCTCCCATCGTTGATTTTCCTTTGTGCTACTATTGAACTGGGTAGCAGGCTTCCTTTGGTCTCCCCCGAGGGTCTGAGCTTCCTCCTTTTATCTGTTTCTTTGTTCAATCTCTCCAATTCGTATTGAAGAGGGTTAGAGGATAGCTCAGCAAAGCTAGGTAAGCAACCAGGGAATAGAGTCCAGATAGACTCCAAGTGCCGGCTGATTGCTTCTTTCACTTTGCCATGCAAGTAATATCAAGGACAAAGGAAAAGACAGGGAAAGAGCATGATATGAGATACCTTTGCTTTTGCCCTTGATGATATGAGATACCTTTGCTTTTGAAGAAGCAGTGAATGAATCAGCACATGTATTTGTGGTGCTGTTTCCTCCTGGGTCATCTGTACTCCAGGCATCTGGTATCATCTTTGGGGAAGAAGAAAGAATAGAGTATTTCGAAAGGCTTTGGTGAGAGTGCGCCTTCAGAGGTGAGAAAGAGTTGGGCATTTTCTTCAGTTCTGTCTTGCCAAAAAAAAATGAAGGTCGACATATATAGGGAATTCAATAGCAAGTGGTGATACTGTTCTTTTACCGTTGTCGACAAACATTTTGATCCCGCAAATCCGGCTTTTTGGAATAGTGACGACTCTTCGATTTCTGAATTTGCCTCTTCGATTTCTGAGCAGTCGCCCATTCGATTTCTGAACGATGCCCTTCGCTTTCTGAACGACACGTAGTAGCGCGGATGCGGCTCTGTCTGAGATCTTTTGACAAGTGGCACGCGTCTTCTGAAAAGCTGGGATTGCGTCTGACGAGCTGGCGATCTTTACACCAGATATTCCGGTTTTGAAGAGTGGTGTCTCTTCATTCTGAATTGGTGAACGCCTCTCCTTTAATAGAGGTGATTGATCACCTCTAGCATGCACACTTGAAAATTGCCCAGAAATCGTCTCCGGCCCGTTTGAAAATCTACTCCG